CCCCCCCCCCCCGCCCCGCGCATAAATCTACTCTATATACAAGCCTACAGTTGGAAGGAAAAGCTGGCAGTTTTAATGCTACCTAGGTTTCAAGGATCGCTACTAAGGACCAAAACTTTAATCTTGAAGCCAGGTAAGAGATTTACAGGAATTTATCGGAGCACTTTGCGAAGGCGAGTGTGTTAGTTACTCACTGGAATATTTTCAAAATTTCGTGAACTATAAGCGGTCGTTCGTTTTGAAATCCTAGTGGGCAGACAAATTTATTATTGTTTTAAATTAAGGGACATTTATACTTTCTATTCATGTAGTTCAGTAGTTTCAAACAGGTGCCACATTTTTAAAACGTGCCTTGAAAGTAGAGCTATGTTCGCGTTTGGTTCAAAACTCGATTTAACGGGTAGAAAATTTTCTTTTAACCGTTGAAGGAACAACATTGAATTATAATTGCAACATGGCTAAACAAACTGCTATGATATATCTATAGTTGAAAAAAAGAATTGAGACTTTTGAGCGAATATTGAGCAATAAGTGCTATTTTTCCAGTTTCGGGGGGCATGAAACTTGTGTCGAGCGGACCGAACTTCAATCAATCCTAGAAAACTTCAATTGAAATTTTTTAATGAAGTAAAACTCATTTTAGTGATTGACTAGGTAAGGGCTTTGAATTCCCAGCTTATGAGAAGTAAAATCAGTGGTCGGTTCTTACAGAGACAGCTTCTTAAACAGGTGATTACTGCGACGTGGGAGGATGTGTTTGATCAGCATGTTCAAACAATAAGATGGGTCCCTGAGGTAAAGGATTTTAGTGTATTTGACTCATTTCTTTGTAATGTATTCACCTGCTGAAGTAGAAGTTTGTAGGAACCTTGATAATCCTGGTTCCATGATATTGCAGCAATTGGATTTTGATCTTCAACTTTGTACATTGTTAGTGCTAGTGGAGCCTAATAAGAAACAAGCTCTTTGCTGTAGGTGAAAATCATATAATCATCTTACACCCCTATGCATTATGCCCCACAATTCTCAACAAGATAAATTGAAGACAACTGTTAAGCAGTAAAGTTGTTATTTTAGGGGTACTACAACTGTACAGGCCTGTAAATGATCCCGTACCGCAAATGACCCCCAAATTGTACCGCAAATGATACCCATGATTGTACTGTAAATGATCCCGGACCGGAAATGGTCGCATCGTCATAAAAGATGGAAATATAAGGACTCAGGAATTTGGACAGTGAATTTCAAATTTATACAATCGTTTTTAACTTGTTTTTGTGGTGGCACATTTTCACTCCATCACTCCTTCACTCCATCACTCCTTCACTTCTTCACTCCATCANGTTCTATTTTTCCAGTTTCGGGGGGCATGAAACTTGTGTCGAGCGGACCGAACTTCAATCAATCCTAGAAAACTTCAATTGGAATTTTTAATGAAATAAAACTCATTTTAGTGATTTACTAGGTAAGGGCTTCGAAATCCGGACGTATGAGAAAAATCGAATTTTCGAAGTAAAATCAGTGGTCGGTTCTTACAGAGACAGCCTCTTAAAACTGACTTATTCTGATGTATTGCTTTTAATTAACAATAAAGATAAGAACTATCATGATTAAACAGTGTTTTTGCTTTTTTGCTTTTTTCTCTTGTTCTTTCTCTCTCTTTTTCTCATCATCTACCTTTCTTCCATTCCGTCTTTATTCTATTACTTGTAACGAAGGAGATATGCACCAGCAGAATGAAAGCAATGAACGTACATGTAATGTCATTTATTGTCATAGACTTAGCAGATATACTGATCAAACTTTAGTAGTGCCAGAATGGAGACGACAGTAACACAGTAAGGACACCTGAGAAAATTGAAATTTGATTTTTACTTTTCACTCAAGAAACGCACGAACTGCATGTAACTCAGTATCCGGCAATCCGTTGAAGTGCTTTTCTGTAACCTTCAACTATTGCAACGCGAGATTACTGCTATTCATAGATAATAGGTACACCTAGAACCAAAGGGAACTTTGGCTATTGTTACTATCATTATTTCATCATAGCGCAATGGTATTTACTAATAGACTGAATGTTTCCTATATTTTTCAACAGCTCTGATCAATATCGGGTGACCTTGCTGCTAACAGACCACTTCGGCGCAGAAATGAGACGCTCAAACAACAACTATCTTGTTCTTTCCCTGCGGAGTTTTGTCTGGCCCAGCATTCCCACTGGGTGAATAATTCACATCTGCTGCTATCAAGTTGAAATTCTGTGCAAAGAAAACGAATTAACAAATAAACAACAGTAAGTCGGGAGAAGATATTTGAAAAATCCCTCATAGAGAAGTGAGCAAAAAAAAATGATTGAGGAAAAGCCTGATAAAAGGTACAATCCTGGGCAAACGTCCTTGCGACACTTGACAAAATACCAGCTGGCAACGCATTATTTGGAAGTGGGAAGTCATTTTTCAATTTTTCGAGTGCCCCTCACCCTAAAACAATTTTGGAATAGTGAGTCAACTTGGGTTGGTGGGGAGGGGAAGGTGGACAAAATGTCGTCGACAAAAGTGCAAAGCGTTCCAAGACCTCTCACCAGGATTGAAGATAATATTTAGAGGAAGCTACAAAGTAGTTCAGTGTTTACCTGGCCAGAAACAACTTCTGCGTTTATCACCTCAATGCCGTCCACAACAGGTAGAGGAAACCCAATGTCGCCAATTTCTAAACAAAGAGATTCAACGAAATTAAAACCAAAAAAATGTTGTTATGCTCTTTTCCTTTCTACTACTAATATTACTACTGATTTGTTTTTATTATAACAGTGAAGTGACGCGATGCAGCTAAGTTTAATACCATATCCTTGAGCGAAACCTTAATATTGATAATTTACAGTTCCTAATTAATATAGCCCTCTCTCTTTTCTTCTAAATTAAAGCTATTTTTTATTTTAGTACTAAGCAATAAGAAAGCGGCTAAGGAATTCCCAGCCTTTTCTAAAGATTAACTACTATATAAGCCTACAAAACACTTTCTTACTGTTAAGCTGCTTGACGATAATGTTGTCTGCAAAAGCGTCCAAGACAAACTGAAGAAGCTTTATGTCGATCTGCAAAGTAAGAAGACTCGGTTAGTCTTCATTGATCTAAACCTTCCAGTGAAACATCTCTCAAAGGTCTGGCATTGTTGCTATGATAAGTCATACCTTAAAACAAGTAAATGGGAAAAGAAAAATGACACCACGCCATGAAAGAGTAAACACCGTCCTCTTGTCACATCAATATATCTATCAAAATGACGGTCACACTGATCAGGGATAGGATTTTTCCTTCAACTGAACCGCACGTTTTTTCCTTGATCAATTCAAATACAGAAATGTTGTTACAATAACCTTCAGAGCTTCACGTTCAGTTATTAGCCAATCATAGGGACGTACGTGTTATCTGTGTGTGTGTATTTACTGACACTACAAACAATTAACATTACTGTACCATGATGTCTCCAATGGCTGATCTAATCAAACTGACTCCAACCCTATAAAAAACAAAAGTTATATTTAACAGAAAACAGATTTGCAGTCCCCAAGCTGAAGTTCCCAAATATCGACACAGACTTTCGACATAAAGCCAGTTGCAACTTGTTTATCAAACTGTCATCACACATGACAGAACTAAGGAACAAAAAAGATTAGAGGATCATGTTCAAAAAGTTTCCTTTTTTGCCACAAAATATTTCTCTTATCGTTTCCTTGCATAGTGACTGCGCCGAAAGTGCGCCTAGTTATAAAAACCCCATTACTCATTTACCATATCCAAAATTTAATAAGCATACATACTTGAGAGTGTCCACGTGTCCGGTAACATTATTTTTTCTCACCGCAACCTTTGCGCGGCCAGAAATATTCTATGAAAAACAGATATGAGTTAACACACGAAGACTTTTTGGCGAAGGCTAAGGAGAGTCTGAAATTGACATTTGCAACTTCCTCACCAATCCCATTGTAAAGGTGTACACAAACGAGCCATTTTCTAGCTGTACGAAGGATTCCACCTGACCAGTGATTAACAGGTCCACACCTGCTGAGGTTGTTGATAACGTGGGTCGCTGAGTAGAGTATGCCACCAGCTTCATAGGGCAGTTTGGGTACATCCGGTAAAGCTGACGAACAAGATTGGAACACTTTTGAGTCTGCAGATTTTATCTTTAACAATTAACCTTACAGTTTTTATAATGATGTAAACAAGATCGAGGGTAAAAGTACTTATCAACTAATTCATTAATGCCAGGTCTTTACTTAGAACAGTTTTCAATTGGTGTCGTGAAACNGTAAGTAAAACATTTGCGTATCTCGCACTTGTTTTGCGCGCGCACTACGCCATTGGCAGGTACATGTTTACAGTTGTATTTCAGTATAATTTTCGACAGATAACAGCTAGTTTTTCAGCTGGAAGACGTTAACAGATAGTGGTTAGCGATATGCTGCTGTTCTGGTGTTCCTGGTTTACGTACAGGTTCATTAAACTTGATTTGGTCACAGTAGGAAAATTTTGCTTTCAATTTAGTCGTGTACTTGGTAGCATAGTTGACTGCGTCATGTCAACCCAGCGCGCGCGTGGCGCTTAAACCATGCCTTGCGTGATGCGCAGAACGTGTGCGCACAAACAAAAGTAGGCACCGTCCTTAAAGTGTCCGTTTTCACGCGTGAAGATTATGAACGGATCCTTCTGGTACTTTCTACAAACGTTTGTTGTTACTAAGCTATAACAATTCTGTATCTTTAATTGCGATACGTGTTTACTTACCTTGGGTATGATTAGTTTAAACGTGTTGGTATTTAGAGGGTAAGAAAAGTTTGGAGGAAGCTGCAAAGTAAATGAAGTACATTTTAAGTGCGTTAATGAACAAAAGAATACAATAGCTATATAGTTAACAATGTTACCAGCTTGAAACACCACCACCATCATGCCCAATGGCGCACTGTAAAAAAAGTTTCTCGGGAAAGCCTAAGATTACTGGTTTACTCTTCATCAAGCAAGGCAACAGGTAACTATTTTTGTGTTTCTTTTCTTGATTTTTCCAAACAAATCGATTAAACGATTAATTTCTGCCTCATGCATCTCGTAGAATATTTGGTTTCCTCGAAATAGAAAATTAAATCGTTCTTCTTAGTCTTTACAGTTTTTTTACGCAAGCGATATCATGTAACTATTTAAACTGTCAAAGTTGTCAAAGACAAGAATCTCCCAATGAGTATTACATGAAAAATAGCTCACCATTGACGGAGTGACAGTCTCATTGAGTATTCCTGCATCTTGATAAACAAGCCCAGCTGTGTTCAGTAAGTAGTCGGTTACCCAAACGTACACCATCTTAGCTGACTCTGAATCAGGGGGGAGGGGTGCTGGAGAAAACGGAGCCTCTTTTGGTGCCGTCGCAGATTGAAACTCTCCCTTGAAATTTTCACAATATTTAAAATGAATTAACGAGGATAAGAACATTTTGGTCAGATCTTGTTGGCATTCATGTTGAAAGTGACGGTAATCAAGGCAAATCATATTATTTCACCTCATGGTCATCGCATATAAAACGTTGAAGACGAATAATTAAGCCTCATTTAGTCATTATTCGACATTAAAGTGATTGCATGAGTTACGCGTACTTATACTCCGCTCAAGGACAGACGCTCTGGAAAGTTGGAAATATCTTGTTGTGTGTGGCTCGAAAGTAAACGAATTAAGCAACGAGTGAGCATAGTTATTAACTGCAGTTGTACTTACCTTAATGAAGATGTCCGTGTACGACTCAGTAAAGTTAGGATTTGAAACCAGTGAGTAGTTTATGAGAGNGGCTTGCTTCGCTGGCTGACTCACCTCTCGCGACTTTGCTCATCGACATTGCTCCTGCCCCAACACACGAGAGCCTGTACTCTAGCAAAATTCCAGAGCGTACGTCCGAGCAGGTCAAATAAACATACTTTGAAAGTGAGTAGGAGACATGGCCAACTGGTGTATCAGCATCTCCAGATATGTCCGGTATACTCTCTGTCTTGATTTTCTCTTCAAGAACTTGGACGGCTATTGAGTCAACTGACAAGAAAGGAAGATGATAAAGTTTGTCCTTCACCAACTGCAGCTGAACTAATTTGTATTGCATCGAGTCTTATAACTAAAGAAGTAATCATAAAGAACAGAATTCTTACATATACATGAAATCCAATCTGCCTCTGGGACGTTTCAGTTTCTCTAACCCGGCGAAAGTAAGGCGAGAACGAGATTAAAAAAAAAAAAGGTTATTAATACTGAATCTTACCTGGCGCTGTTTGCTACCTTTTATCGATATGTTGAGTGTCTCGCTGCGATAAGAACTTATTGCTGAAAGCCGCTTAAGCTCCAGTCACCGTAGCTCTGCGAATAATTGCCTTATTTACATATCCTTCACGGATTGACGTGACTAAGTTCGCAATTAAAACGTACACGATTGGAAAGTGATAAACGTTCCCTGAATCTCGTGAAAAAGTAGGTGAAAATAAGATATATATTTCAAGGCTTTCAGTGAACACTAATTAAGTTGGACAAAAAGAAACAAGAAATCAGCCTGTGAAATATTTTAAAGCAAGGCGACGAAATTTAGCGTACTTTCGAGATTAGATGAGATGTCTTCCGGTTCACGCTGTGAATCTGCCTCTGCACGCATTTAGTTAACTTTAATACAAATGCCCTCGGGCAATGTCGATGAAACTGATCATGAAACGATTACGCAGTTGTGTTTCACTGAGTATCGGCTCTTGTGAACTTCCTTAGTGAATAAACAAAACATCTCGAAAGGAGGTTGGAACAGCAGGAATTTTGGATTGAGTCAAGCACGGAAGAGAAGGAGTAATGACTCAGGTCGGCTTGTAGGAAGTGTCTCATATCAAACTGATAAACTCACCGTATTGCAGACCTTTCTCAGTAATGCGAAGGCGCATTCCAGGGTTTGTAGCCTGTACAGAAATCAATAGGAAAGCGAGAAACGCAGTCAGTATCGATATTATCGACTTGCTCGTCATCTTAGAAATCAACGTTCAGCTTTCAGAAGCTTTCAGAAGTGAAATTGAAAACCAAACGGTGACGTGATCTGGGTTGACCTTTTAAGGATCGAAGACAATTATATTATGGTATCGAAAGTGTCAAAGGTAAACAAATTTGATTGGACACGTGAAAAATTAATAACTACTTAGTAATTCATCAACTGGACTCAAAACCTAGAAAGGTGAGTTGGCGTGAAGATCTCGCTGGAACTGCAACAAGTAAGAGGGAATACAGATGAAGTCCACGGCCATTTTACTGTTCTTGTTCGCCTTAATCTTTGTGTCTGATTGTTATCGTCGTTATCCGATGCAAGTCGTGCAAGGCAAAACCAATCCTGGAATTCGTTTGCGAGTGACTAACAACGGACTGCAATACGGTAAGTGTTTTCCACAAACTGCTTAGAAGGTCTTACGCACCGTACATTCACATCCTTTGAAATTTTGCTCACTTCGTTTTTATCTTAAGCTTTCTTTAATACGCTGAAATGTCCCAGGAAACACTGACCAAATCGAGGAAAAGAATCGTGGGTGTTTCCGTTTAATACTGGTTTACTCTTCACAGCATGATAATGAGGGACATGTACCGTGTCAAGTTTTTCTGTTACAGAGAACGCATGATCACATCATATTTATTTTAAGATACTTATGGGTAATAAAACGACCTTATCTCGAGCTGGGCCTGTGAGAAAACACCGGAAGATACCTTGCTTAATATGCCGTGCGGCGTGCAAGTATAAAACGTGGGAAAAACAACACGGTAGTATAGATTTCTTAAAGGGATCGACCGTGTCGACAGATAACATCCACGGAGGAAAAATAACAGAAGTCCAGTGTTTCTGTCGTACAGGCCAGTAAAAGTGTTGCTTTAATAACCCCCCATTGTATTTACTTTGTTCTGTCACTGCCTGCATTCAGTTCTGTTGCCCGTTTGTGACCAAAGAAAAATTTCCTTTACTTTCTTCGTTTTTCTTGCATGCGCTCCCGGAGCAATAGTTTCCTCGTTTTGGAAAACACAAAAAATGTCAAGTAAAATTACATTGATTTGGGGGATGTAATGTTCAGGTATCGAAAACAGTGAGGATTAAAAGGTCATTAAATTTGTACACTCTTATTAATGTTACAAATTATGTTCTGGATAGTTCTGCGCAAAAGGCAAGAAAGCCGGGATTGAGAGTTTTTTCGCATAACGCTAATTAATAAAACATAGGGCGACTGCGGAAACGAATGTAACTTCGGTTACGTATGCATATATATTTCACTCTCACCACATAACATTGTTCAGTCTCGTAACCACCTTCGGCACTTTTAACCTTGTACTCTTTTATTCTTTTCTTAATTAGCATAAAACGTTTAAAATGAATATGAAAATTGGTTAATTATGGATAATCTTTAATTGTGTTACAATGCTCTAGCTCTGTCTAGCTGCATGGAACTCATCCAGGTGTGNACTTTGGCAGAACTAAGTTCAGCTCATCGCCGTTCGCAAGCAAAATCAGTGTCAGCTAGTACAAATCAGTTACATTGAAAGTGTACCTAACCCCAAACATTTTTATATTGCTAGAATAATAAGTTAAACTGTTTTTGTTTGCCATATAATAAACATCTCATTAACCGAGCTTAGCCGGTCTGTATGGGAGAATTTTGACCTCGGTCGTATGTACAGACCGAACGCAGTGATGCAGTGATTTTCCTATACAGACCTCCTCCCTGGGTTGTGTTCTCTCGCTCTCGGTCTCTATCGGCTGGAACTTTTATTCTGGGGGCTTCACCCTCCGACCATCAGCTCATGATACGAAACCTCGATGGCATGTTGATTATTATCTGCAAATTTGGTTTTAGTTGCTAATGTTGGAAAAGAGACATTGCTCGGAAAACTCAGGAATGATGGGATAAAAGACATAAGCGGTTCAAGTGGAAAGCTCACATACAAGGCATATAAGTAAGTGATTATTCATTCCTTGCTGAATATTTTCTTCTCGAGCGATATTTGTGGGATATGCAACATTGTGAAAGCCTATGGGGTCAGCTGATACATAATGCGAGGAAACAAATACGGTCAATGAAAATGTGAAGATATTGCCCGGCATAATGTTGAATGATTCCGTTTTAAGAGAGTTACAATACCGCATGCGATTGTGAAACATTTGCCATGCCTCCACACCTAGCTCTTAAATACCTTCTTTTTGGGGCTGGTAAATTGTGCAGCAATTATGGAAAGTAGAAATCAAGATTTACGTTTTAAACCGAGTTAAGTTACTAAACTTTTTGTTATAGCATCTTGATCTTTACTACTAGATCTGACGCTGACTCAGTGCTTAAAACATCTTTTTTTCAGCATTAAGAATGAACGTGCTGAGATCGATTCATTATCTCTTTCAACTGTACCTGGGGAAGGTCTCATTCTCCAAGCCCAAGGAGTTTACCTTGACTACATTGGAGAAGTACATTATAACAAGAAACTTTGGTATGTGTTATAGGCATTCAAAACAGATTGAGAAAACATTCTCAGTAAAGCTTTTCAGTAACGCGAACATCCTCGGGACTAACTCAAGCTGTCCGCGTTATGGAACTGAGCTGATATAACTTAGCCCCATGGAAACCCATGACGTTAGAACTAAAGCGAGATCTAAATTAAGACAATTTCAGTTCCAGCTGCACATTTTCAGTCTCCTGCGCAGCCGTTATTAGGGTCGTTACGTAACTCTTCTCCTATTGCGATCTTAGAAGCTGATCTGCAAAACTGCAACCTTTGAATCACAGTGCAAAGTGAAGAGTTAAGCCGAGAGCAAATCTGTTATATTTGATTTCCTTGGTTGGGAAAGCTTGACTGATGCCTTGGCGACGCCTGGTAGATTTGTATCACTTTCGCAACCAGATTTTCGTCGCTGGTCAATTTGGAAAAATATCCGGTCCATAATTCATTGATTGTACATAGAATACCCATCTAGTGTCCCTGACGACCGGTAGTTTTCATGCGAGGTTTGCCAAAAACCGCTGTCCGGTTAAGAGAAGTGTTCGCTTTATAGGGAATTGAGTTACAGAGAACATGGGAAATTTGGTTAGAGAGGTGTCTGCAAGCAACCATAAGTACTCTGTATATTTAACAATTATTCGCCTCAGGCTCAGTGAACATTAGTGAATATTCGCGGAGACGAAGTTAAGGTAAATATTCACCAATGTTCACTGAGCCTGAGGCGAACAATTGTTTTAGTATCATTTTCAGAGGTGAATATCAAGCTCTACAGATTCACGGACTAAAACATAAAAACACAGACGCAAGTGTTCGTTTACATACACGTATGCAGCCGTAGGTTTATTAATAAGCTAGCATGTACATCGATTGTAAATCAATTTACTCATCGATTTCGGCAGTAAAACAAGCAGGTGAAACACTACGAAAAAATAGATCCATTTGGTGCCTTTGTGTTATCGTCGTTGACTTCATTCGCAGTTGTCATCATCGCCGACGGTCTGAAAATGAGCAGCCTTAGTTTGAGTAAAAATAAATTTCGGTCAATCGATCTGATCTGCGTTTACAAGTTCTTGAAATGATTTTTGGTCCAAGGGCGACAGCAGTCATTTTGAACATTCTCCATCCTACTTGGAGTCATGTCTTCCGAATAAATGAAAAATTCATACAGCAACTGTCCGCCATGTTTACTTGCCAAGCGAGCTTAGTAGCCAGGCCTCGAAAAATGTTGTATAAGGAATCGCCCAACCAATCAGATTGCTGGAAACTCTGTGTTCAGCTCTGAAATTATACTTAAGTCGATTATTACGCCGCGACAGCAGATTCGCTTGTAGAAGACCAAGAAGAGCAGATAGTTTATTACTAGTAGTAATCAAAGATTAGAGCAGTGCGTTCACGAGCGTACTTAGCATGTTTGGTCTACTTTGGTGGTGTTCGAATGGCTCGATAGAAAACTAAGTTTGCTCAAATGACAGATAACGATCTGCACGTGAGGTTGAACTAGCGACGAATAGATTATAGCCTGCGGTAAAAGTGTTTTTAATTAATTAAGTATTACTGTAACTTGTACTGGACAAAGTATTTTCCAGGAAAGGCATATTTTGGTGACTGTTGGCCTGTTGGCGAGCGTTAGAATTTAATTTCAGATTGCCAACACTTGCAACAAATATTTCTTGAGAAAATAAAGTTTTGACCAGCGACCCTGCAAGACAGCCCGTCGCCAAATGTTTTTAAATTTTGTTTGTATTTGTTTACATTGCTCAAATTTACATCTTGTTTTCACAAATGAAAAAGGTGAATTAACCATTCTGATCACAAAACAAGGCTTTTTGACGAGTCACATAACACGGAAAGTTTGTTTTCTGACAGCCAATTGTGGCCACAACGGATTTGCTGAACTACAAATCAAAAAATTTCTTTTCTGACCACAGATTTGAGGGTCATCATGGTCATTTGCCGAGCTACACGGAAGATTTAATTTCTTACCACAACTCATGGCGATTTTCCGTCGCCGAGCTACAAAACATTCTTTCCTAATGACACAGGCTTTAGTTTCTTGTTGTCGAAGGCGAGCCGGTCGAAATACACCTTTGCAGCAGTTCGAAGCTATGCGAATACCTGACTGCGTGCATGCGCTCATGATGTTATTTGCCCCTGCTGTGGGGGAGCCAAATCAGCAAACAATTCAGTCCGAACTGAAAAATGGATTATGATTGCGTTACACTACGTGAACGCAATTAGTAATACAATGGTAAGAGTTATTTTTCGAATGTGATAAAATTTGACAGGTGGCTCTATCCCTTTATGATCATGTCCTGGCAAAGGCGGTAGTGCTAAAACATCAGCTTTTCGATTTGCTAAGGTAGTTAATTCCGTGAGCACCTTCAAAGTCCGGGACAGTTATCTGTGACAATTTTATGTTTTACTCTCAGGCTGAACCAGTACAAGTGTTTGTTGATAAAATACGTACGTCTTAATACTCAGCCTCAGTAAGATGATTTAGACTGATGTCTTTCGTGGTAGTCATATAGGGTTCTGTTGCCCTTTGAAGGTGTATTTTGATTCTTAACTAGTATGCAGAATTAAACTGTTCTGTTTGTTACAGGTTTTTTGATATCAGCGACACTGTTGACGTTACGTTAAAAGCACACGGAATCGGATTCAAGCTGAAGACACGAATTGGTAAGCCTTACACTAACAATTCTTAACTTCCTGTTTATACACCCATACATACCTACCTACAATAATTATTATAACTTTACTTTGTGGTACAATGACGATATTGCCATTGCAGGCTTGAGCATAAATGGCGTCAGTCTAGCCAACTCGGACGACCGTAACAGATCGAGCTACCGTTCAGTAGAAATTATGTTAAGGTGGCTCCATAAGGTAATCATTTATGGCGTTGCGCGCGCAAGTGTTATGTTTTGAATGCTGTTTTTGCATTCGCTTTCACACCTAGTCCTCTCAAACTTATTACATGTAATAAGCAATGATTAAATAGTGTTTTGCTATCATCTCTGTTAAAATTTTGGGATTTAGTCTTAAATWATAAATGCCCAAACAAATGTGTTTTTTACYGTTTTTATGGCTTTATTTGTGATTTTCATGAATTTCCTTCGGTGAAATCTTCCAAAATTTTTACATCACATCGCTTCCAGTGGGATACGAATTTTAAACACGAAAAAAGTAGGGTTTGTAAAGGCAGTTTTTTCGATATTTACAAATTTATGTCTCTTACAGCTACAAAAGATCTGGCCTTATAGATTTCCTTGAAAAACGAGCTCCGACTGAAGTAAAATATTTACTACCAATCTGCCAAATTTTACGGAATTTCACCGAAGGAAACGCGAGAAAATTCACAGTCAGTTTTGCTTTTGTGCTCATGTTGACGTAATAAAATATCGGAAAACACTGACGTTTACCTTTGAGCGCGCGCAGATTACTTCCTCAGCGCACGCGCGATCGTAAAACTATAGGGAGCCACCTTAAGTCGTTGAACATTATATGTCTTGTTCTTCTCGATCAGTAAATTACGGGTGTCATATAAAACCACAAAACAAAAAATGGGCACTGAAGGTGTTTTAATCTGTTACTTCGACTGTCCAATCACCGGTACAGCTGAAATTACAAACTATATACAAAGCTTTCAATTCAAACTAAAGAAGCACCAAATTAGAGAAGAAAATAAGCATTCAGAAATGTTGAATGCTTATCTGCTGGGCATCTTCAGACCCCATGTTAAACATCGAGAGGAAAAAAATGACCGACAAACAGAACAAACTTTCTTTCTTCGCAACACATAAACTGCGAAAAGCACATGGCATCGCGATCACTTGACCCATACAAGGAGGGTACGGAGGGGCGCGGGACAACAAACTGTCCGGAAGTCAAACCGATGACTTTGCACACACGAGAGTGTTTAATCCTCGCGTGTGGTGGATCACAGTTGGCTGCGTGTCGCAGGCAAATGGCGGGTCACGAAAAAGTGTCGCGGGTCGTGGAAACTGTCGCAGGTCAATTCCCGAAGTAGAATGTTCACCACAAATGTTTTTAACATTTGGTGTTTACTCGTAAGCCTTGACCCTCCACACACTGATCGATCACCATGATGCTGAGAGATTGGAGGCCGCTAGGTCAGTTATGAGATAAGCGTCCTGCATGCGGCACACTAACAGTAGTGATCACTTTATGTCAAAAACGTCAAGTTGAAGGCCAAAAGCAAACTTTTAAACAATTATCGAAAGTGTTCATGTGCTTCTCTTCGTATTGCATTTTTTGTCTCTAAAATTTGTTCAAAAAGTTCGGACTACACAGAGCAAACAAGTTATTTTTTTGTAACTAGTCGCGAGCAAAACCAAGACCATCCGTTACTTGTCTTTACTGCACGCTGTGTGCATTTTCGATGTGTTCTTTGTCATATAGCTGGACAACTGTGATGTAGTGTTGTTTAAAGCTGTTGTTTGTGTCCCTCACAATATTCTACACGTGATGACATTTTTTTGGGCTGCATGCAGAGTCAAACTAAACCACCTTAAACTCATTAATTCTACTCAGGCGCGGATTCAGCTGGCCGTCCCACCATCTCCACTACTGAACAGGACTGTTCTTCAGAAGTGGATTCGGTTGGCGTGCATTTCAGTGGTAGTCGAATGAGGTAACTATTATTAATGCCTTTACTGTTCCACTTGACGATCGAGCCGGTTTTGACACACGGCATGCTTACCCTTATGTTTCATCGACTGGCTGATGTTCCACTTTCTCATTCGTTCGGAATTCTCTGTTTTTGTTTAGTATGCTGTATAATGCCTTCAGTGGCGTAATAGAGGACAAAGTCAAGGATGATCTCAAAGAAACGGTAAGATAGCGTTAACAAAATAACAAACGAACTGGAACGAAACAACTTGATTGGTTAGTGAACAGAGGAAAACTCGCGAGGCTTTTGGTTCGTTTAGTGAGCAAGCAAGGGCAAGGTTGTGAACTGAGCTCTCTTTAAGGTTACTCATGTTTGAGCATTTTGACAGGTCAGTCGCACAAAGTCGCACTCTGTGTGATTATGGTACAGCACGTAAAGCTTGATGTTTTTTTTGTTTGTTTTTTGTTTTGTTTTTGTTTTTGTTTTGTTTTTTCAATTACTGGCAGATGGCACAAATCCTGAACTTTTTTTAATGTTGTACTAGAATTTGATATCAATGATACATTCCGCTTTCATCTGGCTCTTGCCAAGGTAAACTCTATCATAGGATGTCGTTAAGTATCGTCTGTGGCAACGTGTACTCCATGGAATGGCAGTCGACCGGCTTTCTTTTAAAAGTCAGTGTATGAAAGACAGAGGTTCACAGAAGCTCATTAAGATTCTTCAGACAGTGGCATACGCCATAAAAACAAATATCAAAAAGGCTTTTATATCTTCCCAGGAACCAGTGGGTATTTTTGGAGTTGGCCAATCAGTAATTAGAATTTGTAAACGTCAGTTTAGCTCAACAATGACACGGCGTGATAAAGATTCGCCTGGATAAAAAGAACCCCAGAAAAAAGTAGATAAGTCCTGTAAGCACAAAGCATGACATAAAAAGGAAACGCGAATTCCCCCTCCCCTCCGTTTCCTCCTCCCCCCGTACGCTGAAATTCTTCTGACTGAAATGGATAGAAACAGAAGGGATTCTAAAAAGCACATTAACTGCTATTCTTAGTTCAGTCAGACCAAAACAATAGGAACTCTGACATAACGTTGTATCTCTGTAATCGAGAGCCAAATACTAAGTTAACTGTCATCTTTTTACAGAGGCAAACCTGTTCTAGTCAAAAAAAAATTATTATGCTTTCTATTTCATGTCTACATTAACTTCCCTTTAATTTCTGACAAGGCATCTGCTTAGAAAAAATAATGGTTAGCCAGCAAATACTGTAGAGACGCCTGTCACCGCTCCCAGCTGAGAGCAGTGAGAAGCGGCTGTATATATTTGCACGCTAGATGATTTTACTCAAATAAATGCTTTGAAGGATAATTTAAGAAAATACGACACAAATACAGCGTTGATTCACTGCTTAATGACTTCGTTTATTCTCTGATTCGTTTACATGCTGAATATTTATTTTCATGAGATCTGCAAGAAAGCCATGGAAGCAGTAAACGGAGATGGGGCAGACTACCTGACAACTTTTCCCGGTAAGTGACAAATCCCATTGTCAGAATATTCACATCCTCTTCCCTGGGTCACCGAGGATGTAACGAACGTAGAGAGGTTTACTGTTGAGCGTCGGAAGAGGAAGTTATTCGCGTTTGCGTTGGCTTTGCATTTCTACGCTTGGTGTTTGGTTTAAAAAATTCGCGCTACTTTCTTAACCAGACGTGAGTAAAACCAAACCAATCGTGATTTGCTCGCACACGTTTTCTCGTTCTTTGCATCAGCTATACGTGTTTTCTTCGAGCTTTGATTATTTCACTGGATTGCCTGTGTCCCTTGGGAGTGGTCATGTGATGGCTTTGGTTTGGGTTTTACTATATTCAGTTGAAAACTGCTCTATCAACATTTGCCTTTTGTGTTCGCCAAAGTAAACAGACGTAATCGTTGGGCACTTCTTTCCCTATTCGGTAAGAAAGTAGGGTTAGAGTCGCAAAATACCATAATGACCGCATGGCACTTCAGATGTAGATTCCATAGCTGACCTTTCTTCGTTTTTCGTTCGGTAGTTCTTGGTAATGTCAGTAAAGTGGCCCAGATTGATTATTCTCTTGTCGCGAATCCCACGTTTACCTCGAAATACATGGATGTACCTCTCAAGGTAGGCAGTGATTTCTCCAGGATAACTCATACGCTTGTACCAGAGTAAACAGATAAAAAACAAACATCCGATCCATCCTCACAAGATACTTCATATCAGAACATCTGCACTGACCAGCTCAGACTTTTGATAGTTTTGACTCAGTGGTCTAACGAAAGGCATTTTTCTTCATTTCTCGAGTCAGGAAAGCACAACTTACGTGTGAATTTTGAAATGAACCCTACCGTTTTAAGCACCCTGGTGTCTGACATTTGCAGACTACAGACTGCAGACTGCAGACTGCACACCGCAGACTGCAGACTACAAATTACAGAGTGGACTTCAGACCGTAGATTACAAGATGTTGACTGAGGACCGTTGGCCGCAAATCTTGAAGACAATAGAGCTTCATCGGACACAAATCCTTGTCGTATTGAAATTATGACTCTTTGGCCACGTATTGAACGATATGGGTATGTGTTGATATTGTAACTCTCAAGATTACTATCCACGGCGAATGCTGATACACCACAGACAGTAATAATGTACCGGGCATCTATATCTAAGTGAACGCGCGTCTTCCATTATTATGTTCATTTCCTTTTTCGTCGTGTGAAAAAGATGCTTCTGTAGGCTAAACGGCTAGTAATCATACAGTCTGCAGTCTGCAGTAAGCAGTCGGCAGTCAGCAGTCTGCAGTCTGCGGTCTGCAAATGTCAGACGCCGTAAGCACGCTCCCTTTACAAAATGTTTACCCTATCGTTTCGTTTCTCATGGAATGGAAAACTGGCTTTTCATTATTACGCCTCAGTGAAGACATGTGGTGGCTCGCAATAGTTTCCAGTATTTTTTCGACACGTCTACTTGAATGAATCCATACTGCCATTATTTTTTAGTTAATGCTACAATGATGGTACCACATGAACAAGATATTATCATTTTCTTGACAGTATACGTTACCATTGTTACGGAATGACCTTTTAGCTTTAAGAGCTTTTAACTTCAGAGCGAGCAAGGAGACCCCATTTTTTTATTACCGAATTGTATTCAACATGTCAAGATCTAACCGAAGAAACGTGACGGAAAAGCAAGAACAAAAGATGAAAAATTCTGGAGACCTCTGTGAGCAATCTTAAGATTCAATGTTTTAGCAAATGTTACTTTTTTCGTTCATTTTCAGGGTGAATTTAGGTCTCGTAAAAACCCTCATCCTACAGGTTTGTCGTCTCCTCAAACACTCCCTTTCTTTGCTGAGACTAACAAGATGGTTTACATATTGCTCAGTGATTACGTCCTCAACACAGCCAGCCTTGTTTATCACGAAGAAGGGAAACTACGAAGAACCATCAGACCCGAAGACGTAAGACAAACAATATTTTATACCAGCTCATGAACGAAAAAAGGACTATGCAGTTTAATGCAGTTTAATGATTGCTGACGTCAGCAAATACATTGACGGAATTAATTAATCATCAGCCAGTTCCTTCATTAAGGTCTTCATACACTTCACATCTCACAATCTACTGATGTTCCGGCAAAAAAAATGAGATGATAATCATGTGAAATCAATACGTTTACACGGCACTATAAATGAAAAAAATACTTTTCATGACTTTTCTGTCGCAGCTGTCGACCTCACCTGGTATCCTTAAATATGTAAGCCGATTAAGTCAATGTAGCTTGATGAAAGATTGAACCTGGAAGAAAATTTTTTAATCCTTTTGGTCCTACAAGTATCATAGTTTTGAAGAGAACCAAGAAAAAAAATCTTTTAAAGAGCGATAAGAACTGGTCTTTAACTGCTGCATATAAACAACTGTGGGCGCTGAAAGAAAATTCGTTTGGTCATACACCAAAGGTAATCACCGGAAACACAGCGCTGGAAATCCTCTAAAATAATAGTAGATTGTTTAAGGAGTTACAACATAACTCAAGGACTTAAAGCTCCCCTTCGTCGGTTGTTTAGGAGAACGAGAAACAGATGCGATGCCAGCCTCTTTGTAAATCATATCGCATGTGTCAACTAGCTTACGCCATGCGGTCTTGGGGAGTGGGGGAGTACTCCCTTAAGCTTTATAGGCAGGAGGTGCAGCCGGACGTGTCACAAAATCCTCGATATGTGTAGACTGTCTGTGACGCAGGGCAGTGTCGTAATGACAATGTTTTATAACAAAATTGCCATTCACTCTCTGACCTATCGTCAGACGTTTTCGTCTTGGGATTATTTAAAATATTTGGGATTGATTGAATTTTTTGTCGTATTTTCTTTTCAAGTGGTCGAAACACTTCGCTTAAGTATAATTGTCCGCTCCCGTCCCCTCCAAAAATAATCGGGAAACGCACGCCATCCTTCTTCCCCGTCTTTAGTTTTTTATTTATTTATTTATTTATTTATTTTTGAGAAGAGGGTTGAAGGATGTACGCAGACAACATGTCGACATTTAGACACTAAATACTTAGATGATTTTCTTCAACAATTAACGTAAACTTGTTTAACTCTCCCAAATTCCCTTTGAGAGAATTCTTAATAGTATTTCAGTAGTATGACATGTCTGGTCTGAAATGGTTTCTTGGCAACTCAGACACCAACATTCCCTCTGAGCACGCGCTCGGGTTTTGAGACATTGTTTTGCGGTGAAAAAGTTGCAAACTAAAATTCAAAAATATTGACTATTTTCTTCTTACAATATTTACTGCATGGAAGTGCCAAAAAGCCTTGTGAGGAAAAAAGTAAAGAGGACGAGCAAACTTTGGCAGAACTAAGTTCAGCTCATCGCCGTTCGCAAGCAAAATCAGTGTCAGCTAGTACAAATCAGTTACATTGAAAGTGTACCTAACCCCAAACATTTTTATATTGCTAGAATAATAAGTTAAACTGTTTTTGTTTGCCATATAATAAACATCTCATTAACCGAGCTTAGCCGGTCTGTATGGGAGAATTTTGACCTCGGTCGTATGTACAGACCGAACGCAGTGATGCAGTGATTTTCCTATACAGACCTCCTCCCTGGGTTGTGTTCTCTCGCTCTCGGTCTCTATCGGCTGGAACTTTTATTCTGGGGGCTTCACCCTCCGACCATCAGCTCATGATACGAAACCTCGATGGCATGTTGATTATTATCTGCAAATTTGGTTTTAGTTGCTAATGTTGGAAAAGAGACATTGCTCGGAAAACTCAGGAATGATGGGATAAAAGACATAAGCGGTTCAAGTGGAAAGCTCACATACAAGGCATATAAGTAAGTGATTATTCATTCCTTGCTGAATATTTTCTTCTCGAGCGATATTTGTGGGATATGCAACATTGTGAAAGCCTATGGGGTCAGCTGATACATAATGCGAGGAAACAAATACGGTCAATGAAAATGTGAAGATATTGCCCGGCATAATGTTGAATGATTCCGTTTTAAGAGAGTTACAATACCGCATGCGATTGTGAAACATTTGCCATGCCTCCACACCTAGCTCTTAAATACCTTCTTTTTGGGGCTGGTAAATTGTGCAGCAATTATGGAAAGTAGAAATCAAGATTTACGTTTTAAACCGAGTTAAGTTACTAAACTTTTTGTTATAGCATCTTGATCTTTACTACTAGATCTGACGCTGACTCAGTGCTTAAAACATCTTTTTTTCAGCATTAAGAATGAACGTGCTGAGATCGATTCATTATCTCTTTCAACTGTACCTGGGGAAGGTCTCATTCTCCAAGCCCAAGGAGTTTACCTTGACTACATTGGAGAAGTACATTATAACAAGAAACTTTGGTATGTGTTATAGGCATTCAAAACAGATTGAGAAAACATTCTCAGTAAAGCTTTTCAGTAACGCGAACATCCTCGGGACTAACTCAAGCTGTCCGCGTTATGGAACTGAGCTGATATAACTTAGCCCCATGGAAACCCATGACGTTAGAACTAAAGCGAGATCTAAATTAAGACAATTTCAGTTCCAGCTGCACATTTTCAGTCTCCTGCGCAGCCGTTATTAGGGTCGTTACGTAACTCTTCTCCTATTGCGATCTTAGAAGCTGATCTGCAAAACTGCAACCTTTGAATCACAGTGCAAAGTGAAGAGTTAAGCCGAGAGCAAATCTGTTATATTTGATTTCCTTGGTTGGGAAAGCTTGACTGATGCCTTGGCGACGCCTGGTAGATTTGTATCACTTTCGCAACCAGATTTTCGTCGCTGGTCAATTTGGAAAAATATCCGGTCCATAATTCATTGATTGTACATAGAATACCCATCTAGTGTCCCTGACGACCGGTAGTTTTCATGCGAGGTTTGCCAAAAACCGCTGTCCGGTTAAGAGAAGTGTTCGCTTTATAGGGAATTGAGTTACAGAGAACATGGGAAATTTGGTTAGAGAGGTGTCTGCAAGCAACCATAAGTACTCTGTATATTTAACAATTATTCGCCTCAGGCTCAGTGAACATTAGTGAATATTCGCGGAGACGAAGTTAAGGTAAATATTCACCAATGTTCACTGAGCCTGAGGCGAACAATTGTTTTAGTATCATTTTCAGAGGTGAATATCAAGCTCTACAGATTCACGGACTAAAACATAAAAACACAGACGCAAGTGTTCGTTTACATACACGTATGCAGCCGTAGGTTTATTAATAAGCTAGCATGTACATCGATTGTAAATCAATTTACTCATCGATTTCGGCAGTAAAACAAGCAGGTGAAACACTACGAAAAAATAGATCCATTTGGTGCCTTTGTGTTATCGTCGTTGACTTCATTCGCAGTTGTCATCATCGCCGACGGTCTGAAAATGAGCAGCCTTAGTTTGAGTAAAAATAAATTTCGGTCAATCGATCTGATCTGCGTTTACAAGTTCTTGAAATGATTTTTGGTCCAAGGGCGACAGCAGTCATTTTGAACATTCTCCATCCTACTTGGAGTCATGTCTTCCGAATAAATGAAAAATTCATACAGCAACTGTCCGCCATGTTTACTTGCCAAGCGAGCTTAGTAGCCAGGCCTCGAAAAATGTTGTATAAGGAATCGCCCAACCAATCAGATTGCTGGAAACTCTGTGTTCAGCTCTGAAATTATACTTAAGTCGATTATTACGCCGCGACAGCAGATTCGCTTGTAGAAGACCAAGAAGAGCAGATAGTTTATTACTAGTAGTAATCAAAGATTAGAGCAGTGCGTTCACGAGCGTACTTAGCATGTTTGGTCTACTTTGGTGGTGTTCGAATGGCTCGATAGAAAACTAAGTTTGCTCAAATGACAGATAACGATCTGCACGTGAGGTTGAACTAGCGACGAATAGATTATAGCCTGCGGTAAAAGTGTTTTTAATTAATTAAGTATTACTGTAACTTGTACTGGACAAAGTATTTTCCAGGAAAGGCATATTTTGGTGACTGTTGGCCTGTTGGCGAGCGTTAGAATTTAATTTCAGATTGCCAACACTTGCAACAAATATTTCTTGAGAAAATAAAGTTTTGACCAGCGACCCTGCAAGACAGCCCGTCGCCAAATGTTTTTAAATTTTGTTTGTATTTGTTTACATTGCTCAAATTTACATCTTGTTTTCACAAATGAAAAAGGTGAATTAACCATTCTGATCACAAAACAAGGCTTTTTGACGAGTCACATAACACGGAAAGTTTGTTTTCTGACAGCCAATTGTGGCCACAACGGATTTGCTGAACTACAAATCAAAAAATTTCTTTTCTGACCACAGATTTGAGGGTCATCATGGTCATTTGCCGAGCTACACGGAAGATTTAATTTCTTACCACAACTCATGGCGATTTTCCGTCGCCGAGCTACAAAACATTCTTTCCTAATGACACAGGCTTTAGTTTCTTGTTGTCGAAGGCGAGCCGGTCGAAATACACCTTTGCAGCAGTTCGAAGCTATGCGAATACCTGACTGCGTGCATGCGCTCATGATGTTATTTGCCCCTGCTGTGGGGGAGCCAAATCAGCAAACAATTCAGTCCGAACTGAAAAATGGATTATGATTGCGTTACACTACGTGAACGCAATTAGTAATACAATGGTAAGAGTTATTTTTCGAATGTGATAAAATTTGACAGGTGGCTCTATCCCTTTATGATCATGTCCTGGCAAAGGCGGTAGTGCTAAAACATCAGCTTTTCGATTTGCTAAGGTAGTTAATTCCGTGAGCACCTTCAAAGTCCGGGACAGTTATCTGTGGCAATTTTATGTT